TATATATCTGATTATTACTAGTCACAGTCGGTTACTTTCTGAGCTCCTTGGCATCTGAGCATGGATATAAAGTCGTCAGGTAGATTTCAATGGTAATGTTTTTCACATATACTAATTATTAAGGAGAAATGTATTTTTATGTTATGTGTATGAGTGTTTTACCTGCACGTAAGTTAACCCATGTTGTGCATTGCCCACAGAGGCCAGAACAGGGCATCAGATACCCTGGAACTAGAGTTACAGAGAGTAGTTAGCCACTATATGGGCGCTGGGAACAGAACCAGGTTCTATGCAAGAGCAGCCAGTGTTCTTAACTGCTGAACCATCTCTCCAGCCCCTCTAACTTATTTTTTGAAACAGGACCTCTCACTGAAGCTTGCCAGATGAGAAGACTAGCATCCATCATGCCCCCAAGGGGATCCTTTTTTTAAAAATCCGTGTGTGCTGGGAATTAAGCTCAGGTCCTCGTACTTGCGTAGCAAGCACTTTCCCAGATAAGGCTTCTCTCAGCCCCTCTTTATTTATTCTTATCAAAGGCAAACATACTTGGAAATATATTTCCAACAATAGGTACTAGTTGATTGATTTCCTAATCTACAGAAAACCCTTTCGTGGCTGGCAAGATGGCACTATGGGTAAAAGTGCTTGCCATGTAAACCTGACTACTTGTATTCAATCCTGGAACTCACATAAAGGTGGAAGGAAAGAACTGACTCCACAAAGTTGTCTTCTGACCTCCATAATGCTCTGATGGCAGTGATGCCAACATGCATCATGCATGCATGCATACATACATATACAGTAATAATACATTTAAAAAAAAATTTAAAGAACCTTTTCATGTCAGTAAAATAAAGAACAACTCAATAGTAACAAAGTATGAACAGGCAGTTCTTTGGGAAAGAACTATAATGCCTTTCAGACTTCTTAAAAGACATTTAACCCGCTGGGCATGGTGGCACCCGCCTGTAATCCCAGCACTTGGGAGGCAGAGGCAGGTGGATCTTTGTGAGTTCAAGGCCAGTCTGGTCTACATAATGAGTGTACCTAGGGTTACAGTAGAGACCCTGTCTCAGTAAGACCAAAAATAAATAAATAAATAAATAAATAAATAAATAAATAAATAAAGACATTTAACCCCTAATCAATGAAATACAAATTAATATAATATGGCATCTTACACCTGAATGACAAAAAATTAACCTCATCCCACAGTTGTATTTAGGATTTAATAAAAGGGGGCAGGGGATATTGGCACATCCCTCTTGGAGAGCAATTTGGCAAAGTCTGTAGAAGTTGTAATGCATATATCTGACCCAGCAGTCCTGCTTCCTTTCATATGTTGTAGAGAAGACAAACCCTGATATTTCCTCACAGAAACAAGAGTGTTCTGTGTAATATTTATTCAGGTTGCTGAAAAGCTGTATGGCAATGTCCATCGATAGAAAATTATCCAATGAGAAGCAGTGACTGTTGAAGAGACTATAACTACATATACTAACATATGATATCCTAAATGGAGACATCAAGGAGCAGAATATGTAGTGTTACATCCACGCACATAAAATGCTATGTGAAAGCACTCATCTAGATGCCCTTGTGTGAATAGGCTACCTCTGGAGGGGGTTTATGTAGGAGAATTAAGAGGATGTCACTGTGCACTTTTGAAGTGTTTTCTGGCTTTTTTCTGTACTGCACCTCATGAATACGTTTCACTAGATAAGTTTTTCTGCTCAAAAGTGAAGGCACAAGGCGGGTAGGGTGTTTCACTTTTGTAATCCTAGAGGAGCAGTAGAATCCCTGTCTTAAAAAGGATGAGTAATTAATCAAGTATTTCATGATCTTGCCTTTAAACTTAACTCAGAATCAGAATCTATCTCCAAAAATAAATTCTTTAGATTTTCCTGTTTTTTTGTTTTTTTTTTTGTCTTTTTTGAGACAGGGTCTCCCTGTAGCCCCAGCTGACCTGGAACTCACTATGTAGGCCAGGCTGACCTCCAACTCAAAAAGATCCGCCTGCGTCTGCCTCCTGAGTGCTGGGATTAAAGGCATGCGCCACCATACCCAGCCTAGATTTTATTTTCTTTATAGCATTTGATTTTACCTGTATAAAATGAATGAAATCCTTGCTCTCATAGGGTGAGATCTTTTTATTTGACTCTGGATTGGAAGTGATCTTCTTAGTGTTTAGTAATTTTTATTGTAATCAATTATGCTTCATTTTAGTAAGTAAGTGCTTTTGTCAAGCAGAGATTTCTTCTCATCCCCAAATTAGTGTAAATTATATTTGCTGTACACTGGCTGCATTGTTCTGTTCCAAAATACTATTAACGTTCCATCAAGTAGTGCCTTTCCCAAATGAATACTTTGCTTCTTTGAATTTTTATTCATTGAAGTTATAACTGTGTTATTATATCACTGAGAAGTAATTTAATTCTATCATATATGCAGGCTTTCTAAAGAAGATAAAGTCTTTCTGTGGGAGAAACGCTACTATTGCCTCAAACATCCAAATTGTCTTCCTAAAATACTAGCAAGTGCCCCAAACTGGAAATGGGTTCATCTTGCCAAAATTTACTCATTGCTTCACCAGTGGCCGCCATTGTGTCCCCTGACTGCCTTGGAGCTTCTTGATTCAAAGTAAGTCAGATACATTTTTTGCTGTTTTATTATTAAATCTTCTAGTAATATATTTTTTTGCAGGAAAACTTCCCTTTTAACATGAAATCACTTTGATACAATATGAGTATGTAAATATAATTTATATAAACCATCTTTTCATTGAAATGATCAATAAAGCATCTAATCTCATTTAAACCTAATCTAATGAAAGGATTAAATTGTTCATTTTGAATAATTGATTGTATTTTTTATGAGGAAAAATTAGTTTTTCAAAAGTTAAGATTTCAAAAATAATCCTAAAATCAAATCTATATTTGCACAGTAAGATTTTCCTGGAAAAAAGTGGGGGGAGCGTTCAAGGGAGAGGGAGTAGGAGGCTAACAGAACCATTCGATGTGCAAGTAGAAGGGGACTCACTGGGGCTCAGAGCTTTAAGTGGAGATTTGAGAGGGTTAGCCAGAAATAAGTAGGTTTGAAAATTCGATAAGGAAACCTGCTGCTTTGTAAAACAGAACAGCGATAAGGTTGAGCAAAGAGAAAAAACTGCATTGGTTTTGAGTAAAGAGCCATTTGAATTTTCTGTGTTAGGAGCAGACTGGAGTTGTGTTTTCAGTTAATGCAGCTGCATCAGGAAGAATGCAAAGATTTAATCCCAAATTAAATCTTGATTTTTCTGATACCCTAGATTTGCCGATCAGGAAGTACGATCCCTAGCTGTGAGCTGGATCGAGGCCATTAGTGATGATGAGCTAACAGATCTTCTCCCCCAGTTTGTACAGGTGGGTGTTTGTATTAGGCTACTGCCCATACCCTAGTTTCAATGAGTAGGGAAGTAGCTATGTGATCCCTTTGCTCTTTTGCTTAAACTTGCCACTATATGGCAGAACTAGTAGGGAGGTCTGCACATAGATTTAGAGTCATTTCCCCTTTTTTGTCATTTGCCTCACTTGAGCATGCAGCATATACCTACATGAACTTTTCTTTTTGAGACAGCATCTCCCTGTAGCACCAGCTGTCTTGGAACTCAACTATGTAGACCAGGCTGGCCTTGAACTCACAGAGATCCGCCCGCCTCTGCTTCCTTAGTGCTGGGATTAAAGGTGTGTGCCACCACGCCCAGCTCTAAAAATGAACTTTTCATTTGTTTGGTTTGGTTGGCTGGTTAGTTGGTTGGTTTATTGTGATAAGGTTTCCCTGTAGCCCCAGCTGGCATGGAACTCTTTACGTATACCAGGCTGGCCTCAAACTAACAATACGCCTGTATCTGCCTCCTGAGTGCTGGGATTAAAGTCATGTGCCATTATACCCAGCTTGTTTGTTTTAGGTTGGGGGGAGATTGTGTGCCTTTCGGTTTATTGAGACAGGGCTTCCCTGTAGTCCCAGCTGGAATTCTCAGACTTTTTGAACCTCAGAATAAACTAGACTTGAGCTTTTCCTTAATTTTTCTTTGCTTTGTCAGTGAAACATAGCTAATGAATATTGTTCCTAAGTCCACTTTTATACTTGTTTTCTTTAATTTGGCCTGTATTGATGCTTTTAAAAAGATATTTATTTACAGTACTGTGGATGAAATCATGGCTTATTTTCTGCTAGGCAAGCATTCAACCACTGAGTTACAAATCTGTTTTATTTTATCAGTGTTCCCTTTTCATCACTTCAAGTAATACATGATCTGTATATTTTGATACTTTGTCTGAATAATTTAGTGTAATTTGACTGCTAGTAACTTATTTTTCTCTTACACATAGGCTTTGAAATATGAAATTTACTTGAATAGTTCATTAGTACACTTCCTTCTGTCCAGGGCATTGGGAAATATCCAGATAGCACACAGTTTGTATTGGTAAGATTTTATACCTTATTTCTATTTTAAGTATTTACAGAGTTGGCGTATTTGTTAAATCTAAATGTTGTGTTCATGCTGCCTACTATGGATGCCAGGTGTGTCAGTGAACCTGCTGTGGATGGCCAGGTGTGTCAGTGAACCTGCTGTGGATGGCCAGGTGTGTCAGTGAACGTGCTGTGCATGGCCAGGTGTGCTAGTGAATCTATTAAAGAAGCTGAACTTCTATTTTTAAAAATAAATCAGAGGGGCTGGAAAGATGGCTCAGCAGTTAAGAGCACAAACTGCTCTTGTAGAGGACCGATTCCTAGCACCCACATGGCAAATAACAACTGTCCATAACTCCAGTTCCAGGGGATCAGACACCCTCTTCTGACCTCGCAGGCACTGTATGACACAGGTTCACTCACATACATGCAGGCAATACATACACATAAAATAATGAAAATTAATTAATTAAAAAATAACAAAACCCTGTACCAGACAGTATTTCATGCATTATAGCTCTGTAGTAACTAATGAGTTTTTACTTGCTTATATAGATTTAATTCCTGGATGTTCCCAAATAGAACATGTAAACTCATCTTTGAAGGAGCGTCGTCATTCTCAGAAGTGGCTGACGTAAATGTTTTTTGTTGCATTAGGCTTCTCAAGGATGCCCTGCATGATACACAGTTTGGAAGCAGATACGAACATGTGCTGGGTGCGCTCCTCTCAGTAGGAGGAAAAGGACTCAGAGAAGAACTTTCTAAGCAGATGAAACTTGTACAACTCTTAGGAGGAGTAGCAGAAAAAGTAAGGCAGGCTAGTGGATCAACTAGACAGGTATGTTCCCATGACCAAGAATACCAATGCTTCATTTTGTTTTTGAGACAGGTCTCCTCTTTAGCCTAGGCTGACCTCTGAGTCCTGGGGTCGCAGGTGTGTGCCACCACACCTAGGATGTTGCAAATATGATAAGAACTATATTGAATCTACAGATCAATTTTGGAAATAGTGTGATTATAACAACATCTCATTCGTGGACAGAGGCTATATTTCCATTTAGATGTTTTTAAATTCTCTCAAAAGTTTTACCTGTTTTTGTTTTGTTTTTTCCAAATGATTCATTTTATCTTAGAGAATTCTTGTCAGCACATATAGTTATACTTCATATTTCGGGCACATAATGAGGCAGGATGATTTAGAGCATAATTTATGAACCTCTGGGCACAGTTTCATTGTCTATACACTTTTTCTTTCCCAAGTAATGCTGCAGCAAATGTTATTGTTTCACTGATTTTGAATAATTTATATTGTTTCAATTTTTTTACCTATTCCCAAGC